GTCGGTCTTTTAAAGGACCCAAATCGGACGTGTATTTGTTGGCAAACATGACGTTTCGCGCACGGTGTTAAGTCGTTCCGGACGACCGGAAGCGACGCGACGCGGTGACACTTCAAAGGCCGCTCGGATTAGGATACGGTGGCAGGCTGACGAGCTGCGGTTACTGTAATCCCAACATATTCAGTTACAACTTCTTGAAGACTGCCGACACATGTATCAAATGCATGAATAACGCAACGTTGGTTCAAGTTGTATTTATTCTAGTCGAATGTTGATGATGTTGGGATACATGAGACATAGCTGACCAAAAGTAAAGGAATTCGACACTGACCAAACCCTTCTTGCGGCGCATTCAACATCCACTCAATAGCATAAAAATAGCGTATTACCCAATCGCGAGGTTTTTAGGCAAATAAGTACGACTCATAAGTACTTTCTTTAATATCTATGATGGATCATTGCTAAGCCTTCGAGCTCGAGATGATGGATGGCTCGGTTGGCCCTGAGCGAGAACTGATCTGTGGTTCAAGGGGTTGCCGACAGCATTATAGCGCATTAACATGCCTATTTTGTACGTTTATTTTTGGAAGTTATTTTGGGCCATTAGGAAATCGGTAAGAACCGCTTTATTCTCTTGGCCTGATGCTTCAAATGAAAGAAGTTTCCAGAAGCTTCCAACACGTTCCGTTATAGTCAGAATTTTCGCTCCATCTCCCCCACAACCCGTTGTCAACTCTAGGCTGTTAGGGCACTTCGCTTTTGAAATTTTAAAGCGATGGCGAGAGTCAGAGCTGCTTAGTTGCGGTCATGTATTAGACGTATTACCGAATGAGTTGACGGTTGATCAAAGGAAAATGCGGGTCGGCAACGAACGCGTTCGCTCGCCTACGTCAAGCATAGCTCAGGTGCGGTTTAAAAACCTATGGGTAAGATGGAGATTCCAAAAAAGGTCCCGTGATTGTCAAGTGTCGTCTTTTTTCGTGCAACTGCGGTTTTCGAGCATCTCCGTCATTACACCTTCCTTGATTTCGTTTCTGTGGTAGGCTTTTAGCCATAAGAATGTACCGGATTTCGACTTCCTAATTAAGCGCTTGTCCGTTTTTGAAAGTTTGTTCATTTTTTCGTCAAAAATCATGCTGCAGAATATTGGGGGTGTTTCTGGTCCTTTTTTTTTTGAAAATGAGAGTTTTGCGAGCTCCAGTGACCATAAACCTCCTTTTTAAATTCAATGACAACAATTTTCGGAGTGGCAAAAAAGTGAATGGCTTTTAAGCTTTCTAACAAGCGCCAACCGTTTTTGATATCTAATTTATTTATTTATTTATTTACGCTACATAAGCATACGCTACGTAAGGTATGCACATAGACGTGAGAAATTAAAAGCAACAATGCCATCCCAGAACCTCATAAAACTCCCGTAAGGCTCCCACCAAAGGCGTTTAATAGTGCATAAAAGCTTTTAAAATTTTTAAAAAGTTCTTTTTTCTTTTCTTATGTTAACAAAAAGTTTTTTCGACTTTTTAAGCTTTTCAAGTGCTCATCGTGGAGAAAAAAAACTTCGAGAACTACAAGGGTTATGTTTTCTACAAAAGATCAGAGCCGTCTGGCGAACCACCATGTTATCAACATTTTGTGAGACAAAGAAACGCTTTTTTCGCAACTAACGAGAAGGTCAAAAATTTTCCTTACGTCACTGCATCATTCTTACATTTTACAGTGACCCGAATACATCTGAGTTGATCCTAAACCAATTTTTGCCGAGGACAATAACTAAGCGATTGAGCAATTTTGACGCTTAATAAATTCTTTCTCCGAAATACTTCGCACACTCGCCAGTGTGTTCAGAGGTTCAAAGTGCGAAGACATTGGAGAGTCTACTTCCTTTTGTTTTGACGTGTAGCCGGCCGTTCTGATCATTGTCGTGCTTCGATGAAAGCCTAGCCAGGAATTTCTCTAAGGTTGTGCCCGCTTTTGAAAAACGGTTCGCTGCATGATATAGAGGCACATACATGGACACAGAACTACGCTTCATTTTCCCTGAGCTTCCCTCTGCATGCAAAAAAATTCGGATCAAAAATTTTGCTTTCGATACACCCCTTATGGTAATAGGACATCCAACTAGCCGCGGATACCATTTTGCGACATCATGCAAGCGCTAATCGAAAATGCAAAACTTTGTCACCAGGGGGGATCGAACCGTGAACCAATTTTTGTCCCTTTTTTGCGTTCAGAGGGCCGCTCAGAAAAAATGGAGCATAGTTTCATGTTCCATGCATGTGCCTCTACATAATGCCAAAAACCGTTCTTGAAAACAGGGGCACGATCTGAAGAACCTCCCTACAGTCGCGCCTAGTTTCATGTGCACTGCGTAAGTTTCCACTTTCTCATTTTTTTCAAACATCGCCACCCTCCACCGACCAGTAGCGATATCGTCACAGGCCCTTGTTCTTAGGACCTCCTCTATGAGCACAATACGGTCCCCTCGTTTGAATGTTCAAGTGAACGGTTAGCTCTCTGTAGAAGTGACGATTTGCCGACGAAGCTCGTTGAGTTGTTTGACCAGATTTTCACTTGCGATGAAAGTAATTATACCGAAAAGATGTTCTCGAAAAAGTGACGAATTTGGACGAAAACCCACACAATGTGCTCAGCATTATCCAGGAAATCGGCTTTTTCCTCGATGTTGCTCAGCCAGTTGAGGCCTTACTCCTCTCATCGGTTTTCTGCCTACTACGACAATATTAATCCTCTAAGTATTCCCCACGAAAATGGTTCGATTCTCAATGTGATGCGAAAACGATGCCCGCCAGATTATCGCCTTCAGAAAAACGGCAATCAAATTATTAGACCTCGTTTCTGTTGGGGAAGGTGGTAGATAGTAATTGACCTATATATCGATAGATTTTAGCTTGAGCACAAATAATACATTTGAGGTAAAAGAGAATTTCATGTTAAGTTCGAAGGTCGAAGAAGGGGAAGTTACTCAGTAAGACAGGCGAGCTCCCTAAGGGTGCGGACCGACACGCAATTCGCAGCGAAGGATATGCCCCCGGCGATCTAGCATGGCCCTCCCCGCGGCGCTATCGCGGCACGCCCACCGACTGGCTAACCACTCGCCGCAGGTCTCTAGCCGTTTAGCAGAGAGAGCGTTAGCGTTGAAGAGGGCAGCACCGATGAGAGTCGCATCAATGCGGAAATCAACGGACAAGGAAGAGGGTCCCGTTTCTCGAGCTCTGGGCCGTTGTCATGCTTTTCATCTTTATCCTGGCACCACGCCCAGCTCGATCTTGATTCTGACGGGTTGCCTTCTAGTCGTAAACTCCATCTCTAATGATCAATAAGCGCTAGATCTTTGGGAAAAAGAAAAAAACCTTGCTTGTGATAACAGAACCATTAGCCAGTACCTCATATCAGGCGAGAAACTCACGGTCATGAGATCTGAACTTTTGAGTAGGAATAGACATAAAAATCATGCTTTCTATTTTGTGACCTGATTGAAATACATATTTTGTTGGCACGCAGTTCTTCAAACCCGGCACATACATGGCTACAAAACTCCTGGAAAAGCCTCAGGGTATCGCAGTATTCCTTATGACGTACCATGTCCACTAAGGCATTATTGGAAGTGGCCAGTTTACTTGCATATCGCTTTGCACTGCTAAATTTTCGAAAACTTCTGGCGAAGGAGGGGGCATTGTGGCGAAGAGCCTATAGTACATCTGGGCAATTCATTTAGTTCTTTTTTCTTGCTCAGCTTTGCTTTCCTCCCCTGCGGAAAAACTGAGACTACTGTGAACGCAGTTGCCAGGCTTCCAACCAAGATTGACAGTAACTTTATTAGGCCGACGTTTCGGTGCTTTCACCTTCTTCAGAGCTTGAAAAAGACGAAAGCGTGGAAAAGACGAAAGCCATTCAGGAAACTACCCGTCCAAACACTATTTCAACCTACAAGAATCATTCAACAGGGTGTAAACTAAAACCATGGAGGAAGATAAGAACGAGCCTTATAGACGCGTGACCAAAGATGTCACCTCCACAACGATGCTGAAAGCAAACGCGGTTCTACCCCGAAACTACGATTTTTTGAAATTATCTTTTATGGATGTGGTTTGCCTAGTAACTATGCTCTAGCAAAACTGTATATCTATAGAAATCTTTCAAGCGATACGCGCTGGACTGCCTTGGATTGAATCCAGGGCGTGCCGCGGTAGCGGCCCTTCTTGTCACCACACCATCACCGCTTGGATCAGTATTTTTGAAATATGGTTTGGCGGTGACAGACGCGGATATTGCCAAATTATATTTGGCAGTATCCGCGTCTGTCATCGTTGGGCTGGTCACTTACTTCGCGGAGACGATGACAGATGGAGTCTACGGGTCACTGAATGGCTCCCAAGGAATAAAACAAGGCCGCTAGACGTACCTCAAACCCGTAGCCAACTCAGTTTTGAAGTATTTCAAAGACATCGTACATGCAGCGCTAGAAACGGGAAAGATGGAGAGTTGGGTCCCCGCTGAGAAGAACGCCAGCTGATAGACTATCAATGTATTAAGAAGCTTAAAGATCCCTTTTTTACACATACTACACTTACTGCTTATAGAAAATTCGTTCACTAAAAGTCTAATACCAGTCAGAGCCAATCTTACCAATCTTATGGGAAAGTTCACTTCCACTACACTTCAAGTTAAAGGACAGAAACTGTCGCGCCCGCAGTGACCCCACCACGAGAACTACCGTAACCTCCGCGGATAAAAGTGGACTTCTCAATTCTTTTTAGGCAGGTTTTTCTTCGCTCTTGAGGTTATAGTGAATTGCAAATGTAATCGGATCGTGCGCCGTGCCCATAAAGTTTAGCAATTTTACTCTCCCTCTTCTTTGTAGCGGTTGCTTTCGTCGGTTTTGGTATGCGGAAGTATTTCACGCTTCGTATTCGTTGTTATCTATTCTTACCTTTTGATCTTCTTCATTCCAGATTGGTCAGCTGTGACCTGATTGCACAATGTCAGAAGTTCCGCATTATGTGCTCTATGAGCACGCTGTCGGATATGCGTTAATGAAAATCAAAGAATTTGAAGATGCAGGGCTGATTATTCAAGAGGTGAGAAATTGAGTGTTACGAGTTTTGCCCAATTTCGTAAATGAAACTGGTTATTTTCGTTCTATCATTAGATCTCAGTAAGGCACTGTTCACACCTTGCGCTACAGCGAACAACCGCATCGAACGGAACGAATTGCGGCATCTGGCGAAAGATTTCAAATGGGATATTGATTCAAAAAAGGGTGGGTGCTTAGTTAGTTGGGGGGGCACGCGGCGGCGCGGCGCTCTGTTCGCCTCCTCCTGCAAGGCTTAGTCCTCGATGGCGCCTATTTCGAAACTGTCATGTGATGGCGAAATAGTAACTGCGGCTCTATACAAGTGGGATGGGCACGTCCAGCTTTCACGCATGTCAAGTGGCTGCCCTCACCCCCACCCCCTAGATTGGCTACACTCCCCCTGGCTCACGAATTCCCCGATTCTGGTGACAGTACAGCAGCGGGCAACAGTCCTACTGACATACTTTTCTGTTCAAAAAATGCGGCGACATTACTTGTATAGCACCGTAACTGCCCCTGGGACTAAGCCTTTTGAGGAGGAGACGAACAGAGCGCCGCGCCGCCGCGTGCCCCCCCCCCCCCAACTAAGATAGCACCAAAAATGGGAGGAGCGTCGAATCGCGCATTGGAATCTGCGAATCCTCTTGAAAGGAATTAGTGTCTATCGATCAGTCAATCGGAGATCGCAGCATCGAAACGGCGGTGCGAAAATCCTCTAGCAACGCTAATAGGGCGTGGTTTACTACGTCGATACGTATCTAAACCTTTTCGCATCCGCGTTCGCGCGTGTGGAAATTCTCCTGGTCGATACGTATATAAATTCTTTTCGCGAATTTCGAATTTTCGGATGATTCGAAAACTGTGAACAATGCCTAAAATCGGTAATCTCAGTTAATTGGCAAAGACCATCAATATATGCAGATCTTTTACATAGAGGCCGAATCGGCTTCCAACATCCCTCAGTGGTAGTGATCGCCGCTCCATGGTTCAAAACTGAGATCTCTTAGCAAATGTGCCAAGCGTTTTCATTCAGTTGATTTTGGAAGGTGAAACGAAGGAAAAGTCGGTTGGGTGCAATACAAGTGAGATGGACACGCAGAATTATAATACGGCGGGCGCGATATCTATGTAAGTCGGGGACCGCTGCCCTATTGTGACGTGACGAGATGTTATGAAGTAGCTCACATATTTCAGCTTTTCAAGCATGTCAAGTGACCGCCCTCAACCCCCACTCCCTTTCCCCCTAGATTGGCTACTCACGAATTCTCTCAATTCTCATGACACCATGGCAGCAAGTAGGGGTCCACTTCATATGGCGCCAACCCGTATTCAAGAATACAGGCGTGCCCAATCCACTGTATTGCCACCGTTTGCTTGCAACCTAGCCTATTTTCGCTTTAGAAGTCATTAGAAAACGTTAAGGCTGTAGTTCGGGAAAACGTAAAATTCTCCCAAAATATCTTTCGAAAATATTTATTCCTAATATTAGCATGCTTTCATATGCTCAGTATGCTTTCATATCTATTGTTACGCAAATGAAAAATGAGGTCTTTACCCTTTCGTGCTATATTGGTATCCGCGATGGAATTTCGGCAAACTCGATTGTTCGGACAATGGCGAATTCCCGTATTTGAACTCCACATAATGACGAAAGCCGGAACTTGTCCCTGTGGACTGAGCGTTGGGTAACTGACGAACACGAGCGCCGCGCCACGCGTCCCCCCCCCCGGGACCGAGCTTCCCGGATTTCTTTCATAACGTCTGCAGATACAGACGTTACATCGGACCGTCGCTTTATTCACGTTTTTGTTTTTTTTTCGAAGTTTTTTGTTTAGGTGAGTGCATCTATTGCTGACGTTTCGAAATTTAGTGGAATAATCAAATTAGCAGCTTTCGATCCCTTCAAGAACACCGAAGCTGCTTTGGAGAATGCTAATGCTATCTCTGAAGGTATTTGTGCCCATTCATAGGCTGCGATTTGTGCGATTTGGCAATTAGGCTGAAAGAAGGGAAAACGTATCGATCTCGAAATTTGGAGATTTATGCCATTAGACGATGCGAAAGGCCTAGACCGGCATCTTTTGAATTGAACCATCGTACATCATCCATGCGGTGTGTCGGCGTTCATTATGGTCAAAACTTATGCATTAATCCAATCGCCATCTCTCAGTTCGTGGACTATGAATGCTGCCTTATTGTTGCTTTCGAAACACTTTCTGACTTTCAGGTGTTTGACACTTTTACTTTTTTTCGTTCTCTTGTATAATGTTCTATAATATAGGATTGGCTCATGCGGATCTCATCAATTTCCTTGAAAGCAGTCTTCCTCAAAAGAAGAAGAAGCTGATCTTGGGTGTTAATGATTCAAAGCTTGCCGGTTCGCTTACTGAAGCAAACGTTGGCATAAAGCTTGTATTCGGAGGTGTTGTTACCGAGGTGTGAATTGATTTCTATGTGAAATCGCTCACCAATGACGAAAACAACCTCATGCACGTGAAGCATTTAGATACTACGTGGTGTTCGTGTCCATTTCGCTCATCTCGCCAAAGATCTTCCTCATCACTCACTGGCCAAGGCTCAATTGTCTCTTGGTCATAGTTATTCACGCGGAAAGGTAGATTAATCTTCCAAGTTTCTTAGTGCACTTATGTTTGAAGCAAGGGTGTGATTCATATGCTCTCGCCGAGTGATTATGAGACATTTATATAGTCCCAGCTACCGGGGAATCGTATTGGCCATGTATGAGTATTTTGCCCAGTTTATCCTTTTTCTGAGTGACGATACTTTGGGCATTAGGTAGTCGTACCGCAATCATGATTAGAAGCTCGCAAAACATGAACTCATGGCTGTGACTGTAAATTCGTCCGGGACCTTTTCTTTTCCCACTTCTAGATTTCAAAATGAATGTGCGAATAGTTTCAAAGTCACTCTTTCATGTCAGAGTTGCTAAGGCGTGGATAAGTTAATTCATCGGACTCGCTGTACCCTATTGTATTGAGCAAACTAATTTTCGACTGATTTTTAATAACACCAATGAATTAAGGTAAAATTCGATGTTCATCGTGTGGATAACATGGTCATTCAATCGATTGCTCTACTCGATCAACTTGATAAGGATATTAATTTGTTTGGAATGCGCATCAGAGAATGGTTAGTGCTGATATTATTTGCTATAATACATGCTTACATTTGGAATGCCTCTAAAATTCTTGAATGTTGCCAATTGTTGATAATATTGTTTTTAATCTAGTTCTCGAGTTATGCGTTAACAGCCTTTGTTCGATAGTTTAACATTTGATCTTGCTCCCTGAACCAAAATGAGTAACGGCACTTCTGGTATCTAAAGGCAAGCAATTATTAGAGATGCGGATTAAATCAGGGGGGGGGGTTAATTTTTCCTCAGGCACCGTTCGCTCGGAACTTGGCCGATTCGGCGATTCCGCGAAATGGAAGAGGTGTTCATCGATGAAATAGACTTCGCATAAGCCATTTTTCTGGTCGATACTTTTACACTCCTTTCAACATTATCGCCGGTTCGTTGGAGTGATGAGCTATGAGCGCTGCTTAAAGGATCCAAATTAAACACACTTTTTTGTGATGTGATTTCGCTTTATCAATCACGAGGTCACACAACTTAGTTGTCCACCGAATCCGTCATAGAAATTGCGGAACTTCAAGCACGAGTGAAACATACACTTCAAGGCTAGCTTTTCTGTGCGTAGAACGTTGATGGAGAGTTCAACTCATTTAATGTTATAATGTATAGGGAATATTGCTTCAAAAGCTCCATTGATGGAAATTGCTTTAAGTGAAGCCTTTATTATTGTAAAAATGCACCCTTGTTTTTTAAGCCGGGATGAGTGTATAATTAAATGCTCATCTGGTCAAAGGCAAGGGAAATAGACGAGAATATCAGACACTGGTTCACATTGCTATGCGAATTCAGTCGTAATTATTCCCACAGTCATTTGTATCTAGCAATGATTTTACGTCCTTTTATATGGTGCATAGTGTTGAGTGAACGTTTTAGGTACTCATATCACTATCCGGAGCTAAGGCTGCGAAAGCAGTTCGGCGCCCATTAAATACGCGAAAGCTGGCCATGTCACCATTATCTGGATGCGTAATAAGATGCACGCGAACGAAAACTTACTTCGCTGTAATTTCGCTGTGGGCGTTGTATATTTTCTATCGAAGTGATGAAGTGATGAATGATGAAGTGTGATCCCTGCCCCTTACATATGCATGAAAGTCTTGCTGATTCCTCTGGTCTAAGCCATGGAAATCGCAGAGAAAATCAGACGCTGTTCTAAGCTTGTACGAGGAGCGGTCGCACCTATCTATTCCTACATAAATTATTGACGTAAGTAATGTATTTGTTGTATAGCATTGTTTTTCAAGAAATCCTGGAGGGTGATGAAGAAAAAGCGGCTGAAGTGGTTGAGGCCGCTAGAACTTCCATGGGAATGGATATAGCGGATCTGGATCTCGTCAACATTGAGAGGTTCGAACTTCTTCTGCTAATACTCTTCATTTTTCTTTCGGGCTGCAATGAGTTTTCATACCCTTGCATATTAAGCCGGGATGAGAATCGTGCTGATTACTCGTCTGGTCTAAGGCAAGGGAAATCGTAGAGAATGACAGACACTGTTTTATGCTTGTGCGTAAAGCAGTCGCATGTATCTATTCCCACAGTCACTTTCACGCTGGATCTTTTCCATTGTCGCTAGAAACCCATGAAATGTTTAAGTTGTAAGGCTTGAAAAGAGTGAAGAGCCGTGATGTTCCTCATTTCTTGGAATCAGTGCCATCATAATTGTTATTTCTATAGGTTTGCCTCTCGTGTTGCCTCACTGACTGAATATCGTCAACGTCTTCACGAGTACATCAAGGATCGTATGAACAGCTGCGCCCCATCGTTGAGTGCTTTAATTGGGGAGCAGGTGAGGAACTTCTACAATTAACTTTACTTTTATAGGGGTTCATTTCGTAATTTCTCATGCCTCTCGTTTTGCTTCGTTACCCGAATGTCGTCAAAGTCTTCACGACTACAGTATCCGCTGCTTGGTCCCGTTTATTGTCTGGTGTTGATTGTATGGTGTTCAATGTGACTGTTATTACTTCATGATTCGATAACATTTTCAGGTCGGTGCTCGTCTCATATCACATGCAGGATCTCTGACCAACTTGGCAAAGTACCCAGCGTCTACAGTTCAAATTCTTGGTGCTGAGAAGGCGTTGTTCAGAGCTTTGAAGACTCGATGTAAGCTAAATAACCACAGTTTTAGGCCGCCTTGTTAAATTTTACAAATTACTGGCTATTTCATCCGTCTCATTGCCTCCCTAAGTTTCAACCACCTTTTTTCAGCGGCAACACCTAAGTACGGTCTCTTGTTCCACTCCTCATTCATCGGACGAGCATCAGCAAAGAATAAAGGAAGAATTTCTCGCTTTCTTGCCAATAAATGTACAATTGCTTCAAGAATTGATTGCTTCTCAGAGGTAAGCTTTATCACATACTTAACGCCTGTCGTCCACTTTTATTTGTTCTAATATAGGACTGACGTCCACTTTTATTTATTCTATTATATAGGAATAGTACTTACGACAGCAAATATACATATTTTTCATCTAAATTCCAGCACACACGAAAGCGGTCTCTATCTGATTCTGTCATACGATTGAAATATCGTTTTCTTAGTGTATTCTTGACGGTTTTCTTCCGCTTCTTTTACATTTGCAATACTTATTCTTGTTTCCATCCCCATCCTCATCCTCATGATCACAGGAGTCATCATATTACATAAAACAAAAAGCTAACAGTTGCCTTTCAGATATATATTTTTTATTTCTTTTTATTCCTCACAATCGTCTGTTCGTGGTAGTGTTTCTGTACCGCCATTTGAAAATATTGTAAATAAATTAACAGATAAATTTATGGAAGGAATATTCTATATTTTTTTTCGGCTAATCACCTTTCTTCGATTCTGTACTTCAATTATTGTGAGTGATAGGAATAACTTTATTGCATAGGTACCTGTGTCCACTTTCGGAGAGTTTCTGAAGGGTCAAGTCGAGGAACGATTGAAGTACTTTGAAACCGGGGAGGTACCACAGAAGAACTTGGATGTGATGGTAAAAGCTCAAGAGGAAGCGAAAGTCGTCCAAGAGAAGGTACTGTCCTATCAGTACTATTGCTGATTTTCTTACTCTAAGTCAACCACCGGTCTAGGTTCTGAAAAAGAGAAAGAAGGCTGCTAAAAAGGCGAAGAAGATACAGGAAGAGACGCAGGGTGAATCATCAGAGGCTGTAGAGGTGAGTAGTATTAAGTTCTCATTCGAATCTAGACGGCTGCCATTTATTCAAAATTTCAGAAGACTAGAAAGCGACCGGCTGAAGCAATCGAGGGAGAGGAAGAGGTTGTGGAGAAGCCAAAGAAAAAGAAAAAGAAGGCAAAGAAGACGGAAGAGGAGGCGATGGAGTGATTGTTTGCTGATGCATTGTTGATTTTGTTAGTTTTCCATATTGTTGACTGTTAAAAATGGTTACTGTTGTTTGAAGTTGACTCGATAAAATGTAAATAAGCCCGGCATGCAGTAAAACTGTCAAGATTTTTTGTTGAGTATTGTATGCTATTGCTCTCGGAACGTCTCCGAGTTCAAAGGCTTCGTGCACGGGAATTTAATGCATTTGTTCTCCGCATGAAGCTTCATATATGATCTGTACGACTATACAAAGTTCCGCGCATGAAAATCTGGCTTCCTTTAAGAAACAGCCTTGACACCACACTTTGCTGGCACTACAGATGTCTGAGCATTGTTAGGGGAGCACGTGGACGGAGTACAGGTGTCAGGGAGAGGCATGCCTACCTTAACACGTTGACGACATCGCGCGTTTTGTGTTTTTGCACCGCGTGGGACCAAGAGCGATTTTGCGAGCGCCGCCGCCGCACACCAAATCCATGGATTTTGAGCTGTAAATACGCAATACTTAGATGCGATGAAATGTTTTCAATAATGTTCGATCTGTCTAACTTATCGGGAGTTACAGTAGGGAGGCGTCGCGTGTGGTAGCGCAAGTGGCAGCTTAATGGAAGTTCGACTGTTCTCATTAGATCTCAATCATATCTCAATAATTGCAAAGGCCATAAATATGTGATCTTTTAATTGAGGTTCGGATGAATTCCAAATCCTTTTACGGGTAATGAATCATGGCTCAAAACTGTCAAGACTTTAGAAATGCCCAAGCGTTTTCATTCAGTTGGTTTTGGAAGGTGAAACGAAGGAGAAGTCGATTGGGTGCAGTACAAAAGAGATGGGCACGCAGAATTTGTATGGTAGATGGACTACTGGAAAACTCAGCCCTTTAAACGGCCTCGGCATCTCGTCTCTCTCTCGTCCCTCTTCCTCACAAGGCATCCTGGGGGATTCACCATTGATATCGTCTGTGCGTTAGCCATCGCGCCAGGCCATGAGGAAAACTCGAAGGTCTATACAAGGTACAGCGCATTCTTGAACGAAATGAATGCAAATGGTACTGCTGCCCACTACTATACAGTCTCGATAATTGGAGAATTTGTAAGCCGGGGGAGTGTTGCCAATCTAGGGGATGGGGGGGAGGGCGGTCACTTGACATGCGTGAGAAGTTGAGCGTGCTACTACTGTACAGAGCCAAATCAAATAGGCCGTAAACCGAATTCTTTACGGCCGGGCGCGACGTATCCATGTGAGTGAAAGACCGTTGCTCCCTGATTGTGAGCGTGACGAGACCTAGGAAGTGTCAAGGATTCGCAGTTTTTAGAATGTCAAGTTTGGCGCCCTCAAATCCACCTTAGAATTGGCTACTCAGGAATTCCTCATTCTACATAAACACGATAGTAGCAGTATGTGGTCCCATTACATATCGCTCCAACCGTATTCAAATACAGCGTCCCATCCACGTGTACTGCACCGTCGTTTGATACCTAGTCTACTTTGCTAGACTGTTCTTAGAAATGGTCAAGGCTTAGTCGAAACCGGAGATCCTCACGATGAATCTGTTTGAAATCTTTACTCTTAAATTAGCGTGCTTCCAAAACGCGTGGACACGAAGGAAATGATGATCTTCTACCCAGATTATCATAATGGTATCCGCTTATGAAATTTCTTTCAAACGGCTGCATGAGGCTGTTTAATGTGAACCTGGGTTTTGTGTGCTGTTTGCTTCATTTTTCCAAGTCTTTTCATTTTAGGTTGATGCATCTATTGCTGACGTTTCGAAATTTAGTGGAATAATCAAATTAGCAGCTTTCGATCCCTTCAAGAACACCGAAGCTGCTTTGGAGAATGCTAATGCTATCTCTGAAGGTATTTGTGCCCATTCATAGGCTGCGATTTGTGCGATTTGGCGATTAGGCTGAAAAGGAGGGAAACGTATCGATCTCGAAATTTGGAGATTTTGCCATTAGACGATGCGAAAGGCCTAGACCGGACATCTTTTGAATTGAACCATCGTGCATCGCCAATGCACTGTGTCGGCGTTCATTATGGTCAATACTTATGCATTAATCCAATCGCCATCTCTCAAGTCGTGGACTATGAACGCTGCCTTATTGTTGTTTCGAAGCGCTTTCTAAATGCTAAAGTTTTACTAAGCTGTTCAGTTTTCTTTGCTACTTTTTGTTTCCTTTAATGTTCATATATAGGTTGTGCTCACGCGGCTCTCATCATTTCCTTGGGAAAGCAGTTTCGGAAAAGAAGAAGAAGCTGATCTTGTGGTGTTTAATGTTCAAAAGCTTGCCGGTTCGCTTACTGAAGCAAACGTTGGCATAAAGCTTGCATTCGGAGGTGTTGTTACCGAGGTGTGAATTGATTTCTTTGTGAAATCGCTCACCAATGACGAAAACAACCTCATGCACGTGAAGCATTCAGATACTACGCGGCGTTCGTGTCCATTTCGCTCATCTTCATCTCGCCAAAGATCTTCCTCATCACTCACTGGCAAGGCTTCAATTGTCTCTTGGTCATAGTTATTCACGCGAAAGGTAGATTAATCTTCCAAGTTTTTAGTGCACTTATGTTTGAAGCAAGGGTATGATTCATATGCTCTCGCCGAGTGATTATGAGACATTTATATAGTCCCAGCTACCGGGGAATCGTATTGGCCATGTATGAGTATTTTTTTGCCATTTATCCTGGGTTTTCTGAGTGACGATACTTTGGGCATCAGGTAGTCGTACCGCAATCATGATTAGAAGCTCGCAAAACATGAACTCATGGCTGTGACTGTAAATTCGTCCGGGACCTTTTCTTTTCCCACTTCTGGATTTCAAAATGAATGTTGTGAATTAAGTCAAGTCACCTTTCATGCTCAGAGTTCAAGGCAGTGGGTAAGTTTAATTCAATCGGACTCGCTGTAACCTATTGTATTGAGCAAACTAATTTTCGACTGATTTTTAATAACACCAATGAATTAAGGTAAAATTCGATGTTCATCGTGTGGATAACATGGTCATTCAATCGATTGCTCTACTCGATCAACTTGATAAGGATATTAATTTGTTTGGAATGCGCATCAGAGAATGGTTAGTGCTGATATTATTTGCTATAATACATGCTTACATTTGGAATGCCTCTAAAATTCTTGAATGTTGCCAATTGTTGATAATATTGTTTTTAATCTAGTTCTCGAGTTATGCGTTAACAGCCTTTTGTTCGATAGTTTAACATTTGATCTTGCTCCCTGAACCAAAATGAGTAACGGCTTCTGGTATCTAAGCAGGCAATTATTAGAGATGTCGATGTAATCAGCGGGGGGTTTTAATTTTGGGCCTCAGCACGTTCGCTAGCGGAAACTTGGCGATTCGGCGGATTCCGCGAAAGGGCAGAGGTGTTTATCGTACTGAAAGGAGGATCTTCGCATAAGACATTTTTCTAGGTCGATATTTTTTACAACTCCCTTTCAACATTATCGCGCGTTCCTTGGAGATTGGATGAGCTATGGCGCGGCATTAAAAGGATCCATATAAGCACACTTTTTTGTGATGTGATTCGCTGCTATCGATCACGAGTACAACTTAGTGTCCACGAATCCGCATAGAAATTGCGGGAAACTCAGCAAGAGTGAAACAGACACTCAAGGCTAGCTGTTCTGTGCTAGAATGTGGATGGAGCCGTTTCACTCATTTAATGTATAGATTTAAGTGAAGCCTTTATTATTGTAAAAATGCACCCTTGCTTTTTAAGCCGGGATGAGTGTTATGCTAAATGCTCATCTGGTCTAAGGCAAGGGAAATAGACGAGAATATCAGACACTGGTTCACATTGCTATGCGAATTCAGTCGTAATTATTCCCACAGTCATTTGTATCTATCAATGATTTTACGTCCTTTTATATGGTGCATAGTGTTGAGTGAACGTTTTAGGTACTCATATCACTATCCGGAGCTCTTCAAACTAGTTCCGGACCAGTACAAATACGCGAAGCTGGCTGTCACCATTCTGGATCGTAATAAGATGCATGAGAACGAAAACTTACTCGCTGAAATTACTGGTGCGTTGATTTTTTCATCGAATAAGTGTGATCCCTGCCCCTTACATATTTAAGCCGGCATGAAAGTCATGCTGATTCCTCTGGTCTAAGGCAATGGAAATTGCAGAGAAAATTATACGCTGTTTTGACATGTACGAGGAGCAGTCCCATTTATCTATTCCTACATAATTTAATGATGTAAGTAATGTATTTGTTATATAGCATTGTTTTTCAAGAAATCCTGGAGGGTGATGAAGAAAAAGCGGCTGAGGTGGTTGAGGCCGCTAGAACTTCCATGGGAATGGATATAGCGGATCTGGATCTCGTCAACATTGAGAGGTTCGAACTTCTTCTGCTAATACTCTTCATTTTCTTTCGACGGCTGCGATATTCTGGAATGCAATAAGTTTTCATCCCTTGTATTAAGCCGGGATGAGAATCGTGCTGATTACTCGTCTGGTCTAAGGCAAGGGAAATCGTAGAGAATGACAGACACTGTTTCATGCTTGTGCGTAAAGCAGTCGCATGTATCTATTCCCACAGTCACTTTCACGCTAGATCTTTTCATTGTCACTAGAAACACATAAAGTTGAATTGTGAAGATTGAAGGAAGTGAAAGCTTGTGTTCTTGCCTTCTTGCAACTCGTACCATCGTAATTTTATTTGTATAGGTTTGCCTCTCGTGTTGCTTCGCTAACTGAATATCGTCAACGTCTCACGAGTACATCAAGGATCGTATGAACAGCTGCGCCCCATCGTTAAGTGCTTTAATTGGGGAGCAGGTGAGGAACTTCTGCTATCAACTTCGTGGTTTATTTCGTTTTGACCTCGGGCCACGTCGTTTGCTTCGTTCATGATACTGTCGACTCTTCACGACATACGTGTTCAGGCTGCTTGTTCTCGTATAATTTCGTATAATTGATGTCGAATGTATAGGATAAAGGATAAAGCATTTGCCGTTGATCAATCCCTTTTTGGGATGCGGCACGCATTCTACTTCCATTTGTACATTCGTAGTGGCGTTTGAATGCGATGTGGCCTATACAATGACTTGCGGGGCCAGCCGATGTACAAGTCAGTGTTTTTATCCTCCCAGACAAGTCTGGTACCAATTAACCGACCCCGGAGGGATGGAAGGCTTGGTTGGCCCGGGCGACTCACGACCCAGGATTTGATCCCCGGACGCGTGGTAAGCGTGCCACTTGCCACTACACCACTTCCGCCCACTACGGCGTGGTATTATTAGGATATTAGGTTTATGCGAAATTTATCCAACCACCTGCATGACATGGGACTTGTGTATAATAAGTTGCTAGCCATACGCTTTCATCTGCGAAGAAGCACTGTAGTCAGGGAAGGGCTGATGCCTCCCACTACTATCCATAACTGCCGCGGATTTCACGGCTGGTGGTAGCAAACAAGTGTCCTATCCTGCGGTAGAAAAATTTCATTTTAGACACTTTCTAGATACATATTTCTGCCATAACTGATGCTTACATAATGCATCGCTTTTAAACTGAAAAAAAAAACAAAAACATGGGCCTATCGAGTCCTGAACTAGCTTCTGCTCCATGTTGTCCACAGGCTTTAGCAGGAATTCCACTGTCTGGCTACTACATACAAGGAACCGAAGAGAAATCTCACTGCCCACGAGGAAGGACGTTCTGAATCACGAAAATATGAATTCATCTGAACATAATTAGTGTCCTATTTATGACAACAATAAAAAGTTTCTTTGAAAGCGTTGAATCGGCACCAATTAAGCTTCGGAAGAAAGCAATCACCTTTTCAAAACCGAATAGATGAAGAACTATTTTTGCACTTGTCATTGTGCGCTGATTGATTTTAGGTACAGGACGTCACAAAGGATGTCAGCACACATCCTGAATGAATTATCTATTGACTATTGTACAATTTTTTAAATGGTCATTATAAATTATACACGTACACGTCACGTGTGCACTTACATATACATCCGTAAGTAAACACATTTTTGTAGTATTCATTTTATAGAAGAATCTGTTGCGTCATCTACGCGTGTTGTATTGGGCCCTGAAAGAAAAGTTGGAAGCGGATAATCACAAGAATAATGGGTTATGAGCCAATCCGCCCGTCCCAGCTTTTCGATGTGTCTTGTGGGGATTGTATTTTGTTGTGAAGGTAACTGCTAAGCAAGAAGAATTGATGATATTTTGGATAAGGTTAGTCAGCACAACACAGCGTACTGATGATTTAGTGGAAGTTCTACTAACAAGGGAAAGGATGTCAGGTCGAAGTGGCCATTTGTAACGAGACATACACCACTAGATGTGTTTTTGGACGCTGATCTCGAATCTGCTCTCCAAATCTGCGGAACGATTTTCCTGAACGTAGTTATGAAGCGAGATAGTGCAGTGGCAGCGGCCCGGGCCGACGAAAAGAGGTCGTGGGATCGACTTCTTGGCGAGTTCTCACTCCTGCTTTTTCGGAGCATTGTAAGAGATACTCTTATTCAACCTGATTCGTACAGCAATTCCAGTATAAAGTGGAAAGCAACTAGCGAGGAGCTTTCTACGCAGGCTGCGCGCCATCTGGAAGGACCGCACGGTACTTCGTTGCGCACGCGGAACAGGCACCCTCCTCGGCCAATACAGAGGTGATAGTCGTGTTCAGCGCGGTCAAACTATCCTTTTCGGACACTTTTGATCTGAATTAAAATTTTGTCCTAACGTCGAAAATGTGGGCAGTCATATCTCTCCATTAAATCATTGTCAAAGTCTGGTTATGAGATAGAATGAAACTGTGATCATAGTTATACTTATGGAAAGAAATAAATGTGTTTATCTTACTTGCTTGATTACCCGGAAGTTTACGTTGTATTTTTTGAAGTACGCTTGTTGTCTCTATATACTTGGGATGGTAAGAAAGTCCTGAGCCGATTTTTCGAAAGCTCCAGAACTTTCGCTTATTGATCGATACCTAGAATCTGCTACGTGATAGATTATCGCTGTCGATCATACTTCTCCGCAGTAGGTATATATTAGCCGGGTTGCCTTCTTTAACTTTAATCATGATGTCGATTCCACAAGAGCACTTTCGAGCGATCATCTTCAATGAATGGCGCTGCGGCACAGGAGCAGTGGAAACCGTCAACATTATCAGCATCGCATTGGGAAGGGACACCACTTCCATCATCAGTGCCAAGCTCTGGTTCGCAGGCTTCGAAGGAGGAGACACGGCTTCCGAAAACAAGACAAGGTTGGGAAGCCCCCAACAGTGGAAGACTCCACCGTTCTCGGCGCTGTCGAAGAGGATCCGGAGGTTAGCACCCGCAGCCTTGTGATAAGACTCGGGTGCACCCATCCCACAGTCCTCGGTCCCCTCCACGCCCTCGCCACAGGAAAGTGTGACTCGATGGATTCCTCATGTCTTGACCGATAGCACGCGGTTCAGGCGGGTACCCATTTGTCAGTTTCTCCTTCTTTGTCCGCACCGAAAGGAGTTTTTGGAAGGATTACGAGAGATAGAGTTGGGTCCTCTACGATTCTAACAAGCACGTGCCGTGTGGCTCCCTCGAGAAGGCCCGCCGACACAAGCAAAATCGGACCTTCACCCCAAAAGCTGTCTTCTTTGCTACCTCTGGGATTCGTGAGGAATGCTGTATTATGAGATGCTCCCGTAAAGACATACCGCTACCGGCAGCATTTACGCCAGTCAGCTCTAGAAACTAGCGGACGCTGTTCAAGAAAAACGACCGAGACGAACTTCTGTCCACCTACTCCACGATGACGCCAGGCCCCACATAGCTAAAGAGACCCGTGCAAAATTGGAAGAGCTGATCTGGGACGCGATTCCCCACCCACCCTATTCCCCTGACATTGCCCTCTCTGATTATCACTTATTTCATCCCCTCAAGGCATTCCTAGCGAAGAAAAAATTCACCAAAGTTGAAGACGTTGAAAGAGCGGTCAGCGATTTCTTTGACTCTCAGTCTGCTCAGTTCTGGAGAAGGGGGTCGCTGACCTGCCCATTAGGTGGGACTCTGTAGTGAGTAACAATGGTGATTATATTGTTTAGTAGATTCCATTGTACGCGGAATAAAAAAGTAAAGCACCACAAAAAGTGTCAAACCGCTCAAGACTTTCTTACCATCCTAATATTATAGGTTAGCGCTAGGGTAGTGGCTACAGACAACAACAACGACTGTGCTATCGGATCGCAGATAGCCTGGATCGTAACCCTGCCACGCAATATTACAACTTATTTAGTCCACTAAATCGTGACGGCGTCACCCTTCCATCCCTTAGAACACCGCGAACTGTTAAATGGCTGCTCCGAAACCTTGTGCGAATGTGGCCTCATACGGAGCAAATCCTTTCTAAACACTCAATGTATTGCATTGCAGCTGTAAATTTATAACACAAATAGTTTTTTATATCCAGGACAAACTAATACAAAGAGCAAAATCTCGTGCTAGCCAGAGTCCCAATCCAGGCGGTCTTTAAACAAAGTAACAAACCCAATCTACCCCTCGCCAAGGCGCTACGTGCAACTCTGTCTAAGGGTGGTCGTGAAGTTGGCTTACGATTTGAAACAACCTTCCGTAACACTTTTCAGAGAATCGTTTCGCAAATTTGGAAAGTGGATTTGAGATCAGCTTCCGAAAACAGATCTGTACGTATAGGTTTCATTATGAATGACCACTTCGACTTGGTATCCTTCCCTTGTAAGCTTCAAATTCCTAGAGTTGCATCATCTTTGAAACGTGTGGTCACGGCTGTTGTAAACAAGCACACTTTTTGAGCAGTTAGCTGTGGGACTTCACAGCGGTCAATCCCAGCAGAGGAGTGGAATTTCTTGTGCTGCACTTGTCGAAGTTCAGCCTCTTCTAGTCGATCCAGCCAGTCGTGCTTTCGCGTGAGGTTGCTGCGTTCATCTGCAACAGCTTTCTCAAGGAGTCACGACCTTGAAAAAGGTTGTTTTTGAGTTCCAGTTGTATTCAGGTTGTCTCAAAAAGTCGTGCGTATTTTTTTTAGGTTTCATGCCACAAGCATTTGCAATTTTTAAATACGTTCACGTAGGCTGAGCACAACGTATAGTATCTTGTAAACGAATCTTACACCTTCTTCGACTTAAAGGACGAATTCACGATGAAAAAGCAACCCATTTCAAATTAACCTAGGGATGGTGAGTGGTACACGAAAGAAGGAAGAACCATGAGAAACGGCCCAGAACCCGAGAAATGGGACCCCTTCCTTGCCCGTTGATTCGAGCATTGATGCGACTCTCATCGCTGTGCCCTCTTCAACACTACGCTCTCTCAGCTATCTAATCACTCGCCACGTATTGAACTACGGCGAGTGATCAGATGATCGGTGGGCGGAGATCGCCGGACCCGCCAGCTTTGAGGCATGATAGGTCGCCGAGGTCAAATTTTTCCATGCGAATTGCGCGTCAGTTCGCACCCTCAGGAGGTCCGTGGGTCCCTCAACTAGGTCAGTTTCCCTTTCTTCGACCTTCATTCTAATCGTGAATTCCTCCTTTAAAGTGAGAACGAAGAGGGCCATGTTTTTCACGCTCTAACTCAAGAACTTCTACTAAAACAGAAACAGGCCACAAAAGCGATCGAAGAAGGAAAATAACATCGGCTTTATCTGCTACATCTCCTTGTCATGCAGCCATGAGGGATCAAAATGGCTTCTTGCTTAGGAGATCACACGGAGGAAACCTCTTCATGCGAAGGCTATCGGGCGTCGGATTGG